TAGTCTGCTTTTAATACTTTCAAGGGAGATTTTTACTTCCTGTGTCATAGACTTCATTTCTAACAGTTCCGTTTGATTCTTTTGTAAAGTGTGTAATTCCTCCTTTAGATCTTGCAAAAATTTCCTCGCCTCCTAGAACTTGTCAGCTTCTTTGTCCTTTTCTTCAGCAGTTCATTGTCTCTCTTCTCTTCCATCTCTGTTAGCTTCACCATTATGAATGCTCTGAATTCTTTATCAGACATTTCCATTATTTTCATTGAACTGCTTTTGGATGAAGAGGAATTAGTTATTCTTTTCCCTTGGAGGAGAGGTATTATCTTGCTTTCCCATATTTCTTGTGGTCCTGCAGTGATTTCTTGTCATCTGATGTTTTTTTTTTTTTTTTTTTTTTTTTTTTTTTTTTTGAGAGGTTTTCTCTATAGGGCGTGTGTGCTCGCCAGACAGACAGAGAGAGACAGAAAGAGAAGAAAGCAAGAAATCACCCCCCAGGGGGGATGGCCACACCGCAATCCCTTCTCCATTCTCCTCTCGAGATCTTGGGCATGCACGCACATGCGCCCGGCGTGAGTTTTAAGCCACTGAGTCCGGGACGCGAACTGCGGTCTACTACGTGGGAGTCCAGCGACATAGCCATTACATTAACTGCTGGTTCCTAATTCTTTTTTATTTTTTGGAGAGATTTTTGTTATAGGGCGCATGCACTCGCCAGGCAGACAGAGAGAGTCATAGAGGCAGAAAGCGAGAAATCACCCCCCAGGGGGGATGGTCACGCCGCAGTCCCTTCTCCTCCATTCTCCTCTCGGGATTTTGGGCACGCATGCACATGCACCCGGCGTGAGTTTAAGCCACCAGGTCCGAGATACGAACCGCGGTCGACTATGTGTGAGTCCAGCGACACAGCCATTACACTAATTGCTGGTTCCCCCTCTTTCTAATTCTTGAAGTTCCATCTAAATGTTTAGGAGCAAGCAGAAAGAGGTGATCTGTAATCTCTTTGCCGTTTTGTTGTGATCGCTGGTGCAGCAGATTCAGTAGATATTGAGGAATATATCAACCCTAATAGTATTTAGATGTTTAGCTACAGTGCCCTTAGGTTCATCTAGAACCACATTAAATGGATATTGAAGAGTGGAGAAACAAGAAAAAAGAAAATGAGAAAGAGAGAGATAAACAACAACAAAGAAAGAAAAAAAAGAGGAAAAAGACCGAAAAAAATTGTAATTATTGTTTTTCTTTTTAAAAAATAGCACAAAATAGAAAACCACGTGGCACGCAAGTGCGCCGCACAAGTTCACAGGAGCCATGAGGAATCTTCTTCTGAAGGCTTCGCCTCTCCTTGCCTGGGTGGGAGGACCAGAGGGGATTATTAACAAGACAAAAGGTGGAGCTGAGAGCAAGAGAAAAACTTTACCTTTAAAAAAATCTTAAAAAGGAAAAATTACAAAAAAATGAAACGACAGAAGCAGTGAGAGACAGAAACAGACACAGAGACAGAGAGAAAAGGCCAGAGGGGCTCCCTACCGCACTAGCTTGTTTGCTGAAGGCTGAATTATCAGTAGAAAAATCTTCATTTCTCTTCGACCCTGAACTGACTAGTTCGCAGGAGCCATGAGGAATTTTCTGAAGGCCTTGCCTCTCCTGCAACGCTAACTTGTTTGCTAGAGGCTGAATTATCAGTAGAAAATCTTCATTTCTCTTGGACCCTGAACTGACTAGTTTGCAGGAGCCATGAGGAATCTTCTCTCACCTTTTTTTTAAGAATTAACTTGGGACCAGTAGTTAGCATAATGGCTATGTCACTGGACTCCCATGTAGTTGACCGTGGTTCAGGTTCCAGACCCGGTGGCTTAAACTCAATGCCAGGCATGTGTGCATGCGTGCCCAAGATCCCAAGAGGAGAATGGAAGAGAAGTGATTGCAGTGTGGCCATCACCCCCGGGGGGAAGGTGATTTCTTGCTTTCTGTCTCTGTCTCTTTCTGTCTTTCTGGCAAGCTCACATGCCATATATAGCAAAAACTTCTCCCAAAAAAAAGAAAGAAAAAAGAATTATTTTATTTAACTTTATTTATTTATTTATTTATTTTAATTTGACTAGAGAGGGACAGAGTGAGAGAGAGAGAAAATGAAAAAGTAAGCTGCCAGGTCAGGGATTTGAACTGTAGTCAGCCATGTGGGAGTCCAGCATCCTTAACCACTATGCCACCTGCCAGCCCCAGTTCTGGGTCACTTCTATCAAAATCATCTAGCAATACTTCTCAAACTTTAATGTTCTTGAGAAGCACATATGGGGGACCAACAGTTAGCATAATGGCTATATCACTGCATTCCCATGTAGTTGACCACGGTTTGAGTCCTGGACCTG